CGGCTCGCAGCCCGCCGGCCAGCCCGCCGAGGGAGAGGGAGGGGAGCGCGGCGGCGCCGGCGCCGGCGAGCAGCTCGCGACTCGCGCCCAGGATGCGCGCCACACCGATCCAGATCATGATCCAGACGGTGACCTGCACGTTGTTGACGTACTGGTTCTCGCCCTCTGTCTTGAGAACCTGAGCGGAGGGGGGGGAGAGGAAGTGTCTAGGAAGTGTCTAGGAAGTGTCTTGAGAACCTGAGCGGAGAGGGGGGAGAGGGGGGGGGGGGAGGGTCAATCGCCGGGCTGGGCCCATCAATCGGCCGGCGGCCTGAGCCCTCTCTCGCGGCGCGGCTTCCCCCGCGCGGCTCTGCCGGCACGTGAACTCTGCCGGCGCGCGCCTTTTCATACGCGACGTTTGGCAGCGCCGAGATGAAGGAGGAGAAGAGGACGAGAAAGACGCCCCACAGGACGGCGGCGGGTGCGACGCCGGCCGCCGTCGCGGACGCCGACGCGCGCGCCAGCTCCTGCATGTTGACCGTCACCGCCCCCGCGATGAGCATCCCGATGGCGAGGACCTGCCTCAGCCGCAGCCGCTTGCCGACGAGGAGGAACATCAGGCCAGCGGTGAAGACGGTCTTGGACTGGGAGAGGACCTGGTACGCGACGGCGGAGAGGGCCGATAGCGCGTCGAAGTAGAGCAGGTTGTTGAACGTGTAGCACAGCGCGATCCAGCAGTTGCCGAGCGGCTTGGAGAGCGCCTCTTTGAAGACGGGCGCGATCTGCGACGCGCCGCCGCCGATGCTGCAGATCGCCGCCACGATGAGCGGGAATTTGAACACCTCGGAGAGCACCGCGACCGTTGCGCCAGAGTACGACGTCTGCAGCCGCGTCCAGCGCGTCAGCCCGTCAGTGGCGCACTTGTGCAGCACGAGAGCAAGGAGCAGCAGCAGCGAGCGGTGGCGCACGAGCCAGCCTCCCGTGGAGCCGGGGCGGCCGGCGGCAGATTCGGCGGCGTCGGCGAGGAGGCTCGGCTCCTTCGCGCGCAGCCGTGGCGATCGGCGCGGCTCCATACCCACCATCACGGCGCGAGGTGCGCTCGCGGCAGACGCTCGCGCGGCCGCCACCGGAACCCGCGGCCCAACTGGTGACGCGAGAGCGACTGCGAGCGTTGCGATCCCGACGCCGACGCACATAGACGGTGCCTAGAATCAGGACGGTTAAACTTCACCAACCAGCCATGACGCTGCTACGGCTCAGTTGCTATCGCGTGCCGCCAGGGCAGCTCGCCAGGTCTCGCTATCACGAGTGGGGAAAAAGGAGGCTAGGATGGGAGGTACTTCCAGCCTGCTGTGGGAACAGCTGACGCAGTCTCGCCGAGGCTGGCGAAAAAAGGCATTTTTCGAGGCATAGGGAGGAAAAATCGCGCCGCAGGCGCACACAGGCAGGGCTCGATCCGATTCCGCAGCGTGTCGTCCCCAACCAACGGCGGTGCTGCGCGGGAGGCGGCCGCGGGCACGCTGGGCTCGATCAGCGGCTTTCCCTCAAGTTGCTCCGAAAGCACGGATTTGGCGGACGTTCTTGGCTTCAATTTTACGGATGTCTTGGCACCAGCTGAAGCTTGCCCCCGTCCACGGCCGACATCACGCAGTTCGTGCACGGTGTTCGGATTTTGCTATTTGCTCGTGTGGGGGTATATTGCAGATTTGTCAATGGTACCGCGTCTGCGACGCGGGCGCCTTGCGGGCACAGAGCCCTTAGCCACCCTTTATATCTTGCGCGGTCAAAAATCTTCCAGCTCCCCTCCTCTCAGGTGCCGTTCTCCCCGCCCTTGACCCCTCCCCTCCCTCTTTTTTTCAGCTGTCATGTAGACTACTCTTTCCCTCAACACTCATGCAGACTCCCCTAAACTCTCATGCTCGTGTGCAGCAAGCGGCAAGTGTTCCCCCAGCCTTCGCCAAGTCCCCAGCAGCACCGCCCCCCCCCCCGCATCCTCTCTGAGCGATAGCACCGACGCATCGCCGTCGCTCGAGAGCGTCGATGCATTAGAGGTCGTCGCGGCCAAATCGCCACCGCGTAGATGCGGTCCGTCAAAGCGCGAGAAGGGGAACCGCGTCTCGTAACCCGACGCCACCTCGTACGCCTCCGCCTCGCCGTCGATTGCGCCCTCCTAGAAGCATGGCAGCCACCCGAGATCAACCCGAGTCTTCTACCCGAGATGTGCCCGAGGGACGGGAGAGGACGCACCGCCATGGCCGTCGTCCGAATCCATCCCTCCGTGGGGTACACGTCGATCTTCCCGACGCGGGGGAGGGGCGACGAGAAGCTCTGCCCGACTATGCCATGCGGAAGGTCGCGCGCGGGGGAGCCGGCCTTGGCTCTGAAGCTAACGTCGAGCCGGTGGCGCGGACCCCGGAGTCGCCCAAAGACGGGGTTGCCCCTGCCAACGATGGTCCAGTTGCGGACGTTGAATTTTGCGTGCGAGTACCCAACCACGACAGACAGCTCCTCACATCGCTTCGCGCCTTCGACACCGAGATGGAAGCCTCGCCCACCGCACGAGCCGTTGACGATCCGCCACCCGTAGTTGAAGTCATTAAATTGTGACGCCCAGAGAGAGACGTTTGCCCACTTGCGCTTGGCGCCGCCGACTCGTGCCACCACGTGCAGCTCGGTGATGAAGGACCCCTCAACCGTGAGCTTGCCGTCGTGGAGCGTGAATGTCGCATCCTCGGTCTTGATGTTAGCTGCAATGCCCGGGGCGGAGAAGTAGCTGTAGATGCGACCGTCTCGGCCGCGGAAATCCGCTCGCCCGCCATTTGCGAAGTGTAGATGCGGGTCCTCCCGTGCGTCCGCCTCGGCGCGGAACTCGCCAGCGTAGCCGCTAGGAGCTTGAAACTCGCCAGCCTTGTCGGGCGAGTGCGGCGGGGAAGACGGGGATGGAGGAGACGGAGAGGGTGGTAAGAGATGAGGCGGTGGGGACAGCGCAATCTGTCTTACAACAATGGCACTTGGACAATCTGGTGTCATCAAAAAAGCGTGTGCGCTCAGGCCTGGCTCCCTTTGCACCCTGACGAATGACCCGAGAGCTGTCTCAATTGACGCACAGGAGTTTGCGCGACTACCGAGCCGAACGTAAGGCTCGCACGCGACCCGTACCATGATTTGGCCATCGCACGAATCTTCCGAAAGGCTGCGGCGGCGGTCGGTGCTCAGTTGAGCGTAGGTGGCGCACTCGGCCTCGATATGATGCGGGTGTGAGTCCGTGACGATTGCAAGCACATCGACTGTCTGATCCAGAACCGTTCGATTGCAATGTTGCGCGCTTGCACCGTCGCCACTGCTCGCAATTGCGGTATCTACGACAGCGGAGCTGAAGGTGAACTCAACGTACGACAAGGGGCTTCCCGTCGGCAGATGCGGCGGTCTTGGTGGTGCGGGTGGTGGCGGTGGTGGTGCGGATGGCGGTGGTGGAGACGGCTCAGATGAGCTAGGCGAGGGGGGCGGCGGCGGCAAGGGCGACGGCGGGGACATGGGAGGCTTCGGCGAGGGAGGTGGAGGCACGGGCGACGGTGGAAGTGGCGATGGGGGAGGTGGCGGCGGCGGTCCGGGAGGCGGAGGCAAGGGTGGTGGCGGCGGCGGGGGGGGCGGAGGCGGAGGAGAAGGCAAGGGCGGCAAGGGTGGTGGAGGCGACGGCTCCGGTCGCTCAGGGCTGGGAGGAGGTGGCGGCGACGGCTCTGGTGGCCCTGGTGGGCGCAGCGGCTCGGGCGGCTCGCCAAGGTCTCGTACAGGTATTCTGGGCGGAGGGGGCGGATGCGGTGGCGGTGGCGACGGCTCGGGTGGCTCGGGCATAGGCGGCGGGGGAGGCGACGGCTCCGGCGGCGGTGGCGGCGACGGCGAGGGTGGTGGCGGGGGTGGTGGTGAGGGCGGCGGCGGCAAGGGCGGTGGGGGTAGGGAGGGCGAGGGCGGCGGCGGGCTCGGCGGCGGCGGCGGTGGCGGTGTTGGCCTCGGCGACGGAGGCGGTGGTCGTGGCGGCAGTGGCGATGGGGGAGGTGGCGGCGGCGGTCCGGGAGGCGGAGGCAAGGGTGGTGGCGGCGGCGAGGAGGGAAATGGAGGGGGTGGTGGAAAAGGCTCGGGTGGACTGGGCGAGGGAGGTGGCGGCGAATACGGTGGTGGTGGCGACGGCTCTGGATGAGTGGGCGAGGGTGGCGGCGGTGGCGACGGCTCCGGCGAGCCTGGCGTGGGTGAGGACGGAAGAAGGGGGGAAGATGGAAACAGAGGCGAGGCGAATGGAGGTGGCGGTGGAGAGGGCTCGGGTGACCGAGGCGAAGGGGGCGGAGGCGGTGGCGATACAAACGGCGGTGGTGGTGACGGCTCCGGATGAGTGGGCGAGGGTGGCGGCGGTGGCGACGGCTCCGGAAAAGGGGGAGGAGATGGAAACGGAGGCGGGCGTATCCACCATGCAAGCGAGGGTGGCGGAGAGAAGGACGGTGGCGGCGTGAAATGCGGTGGTGACGGATCGACGTGGAAATTGGTATCAGCCGCTTTGTAGAAGTGGCCCACGCTTTCGCTGGTCGCAACCATCGCGGTCAATGTTATGTCTGTACAAAAGTGAGCCTCTCCCGTCTCGTTCGCTCGATTGGGAAAGTAGTTGATCGCGTAGCAGTCGGGAAGACTCTGGCAGAGACGGAGTGCGACACACAAGGATAGAGATTGTGTCGATCCACGACAGTCTTGCAGGTAGTGGCCGTCGAGCAGGATGTAGGCTTCTGCGGTGTCCGAGCGGCGCAGCACAGGGTCCTCCACCGAAGGGGCAAGTTCACCAGAAATGAGCGTGGAACACGCACTGATGGATGGAGAGCTTGCTGAAGACGAGAGATTTCCTGATGCGTCAAACAGAGGGTACAGTGTGACGTCGGTGTCAGTCCACGTTGGCACGCACCACGTCTTCCACGTGTGGTAAAAAAAGGGTGGGTTCTGAAGGTTGCTTGAATTTATGCGTGCGTAGTAGCTGCAGTGAGCGTCCTGATCCAGATCCGCCTCTGCTGTCATGTTAGGCTCGTTTGCGTCTATGATCCATCGGCCTGGAAAGATTCCATCTCCCTTGCAGTCCGGGTCGTAGTAAACATAGCAGTGGTGGCCGTTTTGGAAGAGATGATAGTACGGAGCTCCAGACGCGGTGTAGCCTTGCTGGCTGTAAGGGCCACCCACGCAAGCCGACATCTCATCGCACCCGCCGCCAACCCAGAAGCTGCTGACGAACAGCCCATCCAGATGGGCGAGAGAGCGGCGGGGCATGGGCTGCGGCATCATCCCATGCCCGACTGCTGACCAGGGGTGCGGCATCATCGTCGTCATGTCCGCTATGGAGTCGATCGCGACTGGGCGCTCGAGTGCCTCTGTCCACGGCTAGCTCACGGCGCCAACGATGGGGCGGGCAAAGGGTCCATGGATCGGCAACACCCGGAGACCTTTTATGCGCGACCAAACCGCTGTTGTGGCAGCACAATCAATCGCGAACGGGTTGCACACTTGAGCACTTGAGCACCGGATAGGATTAGATTCCGCATGGTACGGGACCCCTCGATCGTCTCGCCCTCCCCCACTGGTGTGTTCATTGGGGGGGGGGGTCATAACAAACACGGTGCAGGATCGAGGTGCATGCACGCTGCCGAAGCAGTGTCGTCCCCCCTGGTTGCACACTACTCGAGTACCTAGATACAGTTGTACTCTTATATCGAAGCCTCGAGTTTTCTTGGCACGCTTGCCTGTTCCGCCCGTCCGAGCTCCGTCCAGAGATGCGAGTGTGCAACTCTGTTCTCCCGCAGGCGGTCGTTGCGACTGACTGAGTGAGTGAGTGAGTGAGGGGGGGGGGGGCGGTGTTTGCTCGTGTGCTTTGATTGGAAGCGCCGACCCGCGACCGACCGACACCAAGTGCTCCACAAGCACAGGGCGGCCGCCGTCCGTTGGCCTCGTCTTTCGTTCGGACATGCATGTATTTGTTTGATTCACTGTGAATTCCTTACGTGACGGAGCTTAGGAAGTGGTTTTGGTGTGTGTGTGGGAGGGTTGGTGATTGCTATCACCGGTGTGGCTCCGTAGAAAGGAGGCGTGTCCGAATTCGCGTGTCCGTGTGAGAGATCCTATAGGATCTCCAGCCTTAAATCTACTATCTCTACCCGAACGATCTCCTGTTTTTGGGCAGAGATTTCCATTACTCCGACTGTGATTTTTTTGTGCCAATAGCACTTGTGGGAGTTCGTACATGCATGCACATGCACATGCACATGTGCATGTGCATGCACATGTGCATGTGCATGTTCATGTGCATGACATGTGCATGTGATACATACAGACAGGCCAATTCACATAAATAAGCACCAGCAGGGCGCAGCGCAGGCCGCCCCCGCGACAGCCCAAACGAGGGACGGGAGGAGGACAGGGTCCCCACCTGCACGAGCAGGATTTTGCTGCTTTGCCTTTCGGACCGCGGAATTCTCGCCTTGAGAAATTCTTTTCAAGGCGGCCAGGCCCGTGTTGCATGCCTGGACGGACGAAGGCTGGCTCAGCCGCCTCCCAGCGCGGGCACGCTTCAGCGGCGGCTACAGCTACGCCGCTCGCGCTGCCGAAAGGGATCGAAGCGGCGGCGGAGAACGGCAAGGTCGACGTGGTGCAGACGTGGCTCAGCGGGGCTGGGCGGGTTGACGCGACGTGCGTGCGTCGCTCCTCTCAGAGCGGGAACTGTGACGAAAGTTGACTGAGGCGGTTGTCAGTAATCATCATACGGATCACATGGTGGCTCTCTCATCACTCATGACGGGAGACCGCCCGACCACTCCTGGGTGGCACTGCCACCGGTGTCGCTCGACGTCCTGTCGACAGCGTGCCGACAGCGACACAGACCATGTGGGACGCGTCGAGTATCGACCTCTACTGCTTATCCAGCCTTCGAGTGTATCCTGGCTGTGATCCCACACCCACTGGTGTCCATCTCAGAGACCGCAGGAGGTCATGAGGGGCGATGGGAGTCCAACCCCAAAATGCCTTAAAAAACCGAGGCCAGTACTAAGGGCGTACCAGTACGAGCTCGAGCGAGTGACGGGTAATCGTGGCCGTGGCCAAGAAAATCAAAATATTAAGCTCCCTGTTTGGACCACGGTGAAAAACTCGACGGTTTTGGGCGTTTCAGAGCACGCTGAATCGATTGGCTGAGCTATAATTCTCGCCAGCCCTTTCCTTTCATAATTATTGACTCAAAACTCGATGATCGCGCGACTTTGGAGCCGTTATAGCTCAGCCAAAACGTTCCTCTCGAAAAGTTGACTTAGGAAGCCGCAAACGGCAGCTTCTCAAAGCCTCACCCGCGCTTATTCTCTTGATCTTTCAAAACCTAGGCCTGCGGCCAAAATTTTCTAAAGGCCGCTGCGCGGCCAGCGCAATGCGCAACCAGTGTACCAGTCAGCGACCGACAGTCAGCAGCAGACTGTGACGATTGGCGGCCTCGCGCCCTCAGTCGACCTCCTCTACCAACTCCCCTGCCCAGCCCATATGCCTCATCCAAGGTGGCGCAACCACTCGCGCAGGGAGAGAGAGAAAGTCGGCGATCTGCGCCGCGCAGATGAGCTCCGCCTCGTCTGCGTCGAGGTCGCCCATCGCAGGGCTGTCATAGCGCCATATGATGTACTGCATGTTGTTCATTACTTCGCAGGTGCCAAAGTCGAGGACCATCTCCCCCAGCGATGGCGAAGGCTGCACTCCCGGCCGGCGGTAGGAGAGATGAAGGCTAATGTACTTGGCATCCGTATATGTTCCACTTCCACTTGAACGCCGCCCCGGCCTCGTCCTCCTCGGCCCCGCTCTCCGTCGCCGAGGCCCTGACAGCAACGCGATGGCCCAATGCGCCGATGCGCTCGGCTCTCCATGCTCTGTGCCTCACCGCGTCGCGGCGGAGGCGGCGAGCACCTCGTGTGCCAGCGGCCCCCGCGGCCGCCGCCACCACGTAGTCCTCGTCTTCCATTTGCGGCGGGCGCCCGGCAGCCAGCGGCAGCCGGCGGCAGCCAGGTGCAGCCAGCGGCAGCGAACGCAGTACCACGCAATTCGCCGCCCTCGTCCCGCCAACTCGTCCCCCCCCCCCCCCCCAAATCTTCTGGTTCCACTTCCTACATACATAGTATTGGTATAGAGGCTGGAGCTGGGCGAGTGGGTTCCTCTTTTTCGTTTTTGTTCACACATTTTGGTGGTTGTTTACAAAATAATTTTCGTGTCGTGCCACTTGCAGCGGCCGGCTCTCTACTCTCTACTCGAGCCGGAGCTTGATGTTGCCCCAGCCCACGACTGCCTTGTGCCGTTCGAATGTCTCCACGATCTCCCTCTGCAGCCGCTCGTGCAGCGCGTCCACCTCGGCGTCGCTCGGTTGCGGCGTGCGCGTCACCTCTATCGGACGGCCAAAGCACATGGTGATCGGCGTGCGGTAGGGCACGGGCAGGTAGCAGCGGCCCCAGTACACGAATATCGCCGCCTGCGCCGCCCGCGACAGCCGCTCCATCAGCCCGAACGGGTCGAAGGCGGCGGAGAAGGCGCGCGTGTTGCCCATTGAGTAGACGGGCATGATCGGCCGGCCCGTCCGCAGGGCGAGCTTCGCGAGCCCCTTGCGCGCGCGCAGGTACACGACCTCCTCGGTGGGGTGCTGCGCGAGGCGAAAGATGCCCGCAATGCCGTCGGGGACGATGCCGGCGCAGGCGCCCGACGAAAGAGCCTTTGTGATGTCGCCGGCCGAGGCAGAGACGCAGCCGAAGAGGGTGAGGTAGCGCAGGAAGGGCGTGAAGAAGACCACGCTGGCGGCGACACCCACGAAGCTCGCAGAGGTGCAGGCGTTGATGGCGGGGATGGACAACACGTTGGCGAGGGGAAGCACTCCATGAGGCGGGCCGCAGCCGACGAATGGTGCGACCGCCTCTCCGTGCTCTCCATCGTCGCCCGACCAGAGCCAGCGGTAGCTGAAGTATCTGTAGAGCGCGAGTGAGAGGCGAGAGCGTGCCAGCGGCGCAGCGACGTCAGGCAGCGGGTGCGTGGCGAGCGCGAGAGCGGTGGTCAGCCAGTATACGCAGTGCACCCACGAGCCGAAGATAATGCAGGCGATGCCGCTAGCCATGAGCACCACGGGCCCGCCCATCACGACGCTGAGGAACGTAAGGGCGAGAACGCTGTCGGCTGTGCTGAGCGGGGCCTGTGAATTCTGTGAAGCCTGCGCAAAGCCGCCCTCATCGGAGACGACGGTGTACTTCTCCTTTATGAGCTTGAGCCGCTCTGCCTCGGGCAGAGCGAGAACGGAGGGGGGCAGCGCCCAGAGATTGAGGCACTTCATGCGTACCATAGAGCCTGGGAAGGATCGCCAGTAGGACAGTCGGTAGGACCACACGTTTTTGACTTTTGAGTAAGCGGGGATTGTCGGTGGCATCTCTTTCCACCCAAGAAGCCCGTTTGGAGGGATGGGCGGCAGTGTGCGGGCGGTGAGTGCTAGTCCTCTCATCAATTTTTAGAACGAAAACGCCCCTCCCTCCCTTCTTCCCCGTCTAGCTGAGGGACTCGCTAAACGCTCGCCGAGCTCCATGCACCATGCTGTGCAACACCACCTCCTCACTAATCGTCAGGGGCGCGGAGAGCGCAGTGCACTACGGTGAGGCTGCGCAGCGGGGGCTCACCCCCGCTGCACACCGCGCTCAGCGGCGCAGGGGAGGGCGGTCGGTGGCGGCGGCGGCGAGGAGGCGCGAGGCGGTGGCGGCGGTGGACCGGTGGTGCGGGCGGCGGGATGACAGGGGAGGCGGCGGGATTGACAGGGGAGGCGGCGGCCACGAGCGGAGCGGCGCGAGAAGGGGGGGGGGGCGGCGGCGAGGCGCCGGTGAGCGAGGCGCCCGCGCCATCAGAGGGACGCGCCGCTGCGAGATGGAGGGCGGCGCGGTGACGGAGGCGAGGCGCGAGGCGGCGGCGGCGGCGGCGGCGGCGGCGGGTCTCGGTGAGCGGCGGCAAGAGGAGGAGCAGCGGCGGCGGGAGGAGGAGCAGCGGCGGCGCTCGCTCGCTGTTGACGGGAGCGCTTTTGAGCCTGGGAGCCCATGCCACTGCGACCGGCGTGCCCGGGAACGGAGATCGCGCGCGCGCCGCCACTCACGACGCGCGCGCGATCTTCGCGGAGTCGGGTCCCCAGAGGGAAGCGGTCTTCTCGGCCGACGTCCAGCGGCGCGCAAGGAAGCAGGCGCAGCGGAGGCGGCCTAGCACCGGCTCGGCGCCGGGCGGTTGCGCTGCCCGCGAGCCGCGTCCTGAGCCTCGGCAGCGCGCTGCGCGGCGCGGCGCTCGCGCTGCTTCTGTGCCGAGAGGGGCATGATTCGCCAGCTGAAGCTCCAGACTCCTCGGGTATCACGAGTTGCACGATTTGCGCAGGTTGAGGGGAAATTGGCGTAAGCGTCTGAAAGCAGTCTTGGGTGTTTCCTATCGGAAAACAAAAAGGAAAACAGCGGACCACGCCGCGCGCCACTCGCCAATTCTCGCCAAGGCTCGGATTCCCTTCCCCCCCCCGGCAAGGGGGGACCCCGTGAGGCGTGGGAGTGCCTCGCCAGCGCCGCGGCGTGAGGGGGGAGCTAGCGCTGACTTCTGATTGTCGTTGCTGTCTCTCTCTCCGTCCGTCCGTGTGTGTGTGTGTGTCCCTTCTCTCGAGTGTCTGTGCTTGCTTGTTTGTTCGTCTTGGGTCCTGGGGTTGTGTTTTTGAGAGAGATGTTTCGCAATACCAAACAACTCTAACACTCACACGTCATTTGGGGCCTGGATGGAGCCCTGGCAGACTGAAGTTTATGGTGGTTTAAAGTTTGCGGGGGGGGGGGGGGGGGGGCAGCTTTGCCTTTGGGCGGTCGAATATTATTCAATTTTGGGGGGTGTGGACGACTGTTTTGGGGATCCTGCCGACGCGCTACAGTTGTAGCCCGACTGCACATAAGATGGACACCTCAACGGGAGGGCCCTCGCAGCAGCCGGGGCCGACTCCTGCAGCCTTAGTCTTGGCCGCCCTGTTCACGCGCGCGCGAGACGTGACAGACAGGGTTGCCAGGTGAGAGCGAATGGCGCGGTTCACGCCTCGCACAACAGAGAGAGAGATGCGCTCTGCATGGTGGGACATAACAGAGAGCGAGTTCTCTGTGTTTTGTTTTTGTGGATAGTGCAGGGGCATTCCTCTATTCGCAAAAAATAAAACGAGTTGCCCCTCGAGGTGGAGATATCCTTTGCCTTTGGGTAAAGAAAGGACCGACGGCTTCGCTTTTTATCCCATATAGGCACGTTACACTTTTCCTTTTATTATGCGCTGTCTCTCTATCTTGGCTTGACCAGCTGGACTTGACCCCCCCGAACGCCCGAAGTCGTTTCGTTGCCATAGTTGTTGAGTGCGGCCGGCCGCTCAGATGCTTGGCGTGACCACGCCGCCGAAAGCAGCCGAGCGGCTTCCCTCGCCCCACACACGCCCGCCTCTGAAGGGTCCGCTGGCGTCGAAGCGCGAGCTCACCGTCTCTATCCCAGCCGACGAGCTGGAATGTGGGTCTGCAGCGACGATTCACGTCGCCGTGGCGGGAAGAATCCTAAAGGGGGAGGACAAGCACGCTGTGCTCAGAGCAACTGTGGGGGGCGAGCGCCTCCTTCTCTGCCTCGTTGCCGATGGGCACGGCGGCAACGCCGCCTCGACGCACGCCGCGGCATACCTGCTTCGCTCGCTGCGGCCGCGTCGCCACCAGTACCGTGAACGCCGTCTTCATACCATTGGGTGTGAGTAGGCTACGTTCAGTGCACGCTTTCCCACCAGTGGCTGTTCCGGGCCATCTATCAGCTCACCGTCATTGCGGGCCTCGCGATCTTTGTCCTGCTGATCCTCGCGCGCGTCAAGCACCGCAGCGCCCGCGGCATTCCTGGCAACCCGTGCTGCGACTGCTGCTGCACTCGCTTCTGCATCAGCCACTGCTGCAGCGGGAAGGAATGTCGCTTCACACCTCTAAGATGCTGGAGTAGGCGTCTTCTGGTGCTCTAGCTGTGTCACGTGCCAGATGATGCGCGAGACGGAGCTGAGCACGCAACCCTACAGCACAGATCCATCCATGCCCTACACCATCTGCCTCGACCCAGGGGCGGAGGAGGCATCGCCAGCAGCCGTCAACGGAGCGCCGGGCTCCACCCTCGTGTGATTGGTTAGCGCCCCGGGGGCCTAACTGATTCACCCACCACTAAGCAAGAAAGAAGGAGCGTCACTTCGGGTTTCGTCGTGCGTGTCTCTACCCAGAGGAGACAGATCCGCCTTGTAGAACGGGAAACGATCGCGTGAGTGCTTCTTTTAAAGGAAGAAAACTTCTTTGCGAGTCCAAGAGAGCTCGTTTTTCTCAGGCGCATCCGTTTCGTTCAAGTGTGTGTCCGAGCGCCTCTTTCACTCGCTCTGCAGGCGCCAATGGTCCGTTGCATTGAATTAGTGTTTTTGTGTATCGCGCGCCTTGCGGGGGGGGCGCGGGAAAGAGGAACCTCTTAGCGCCATCGCCATAGTGCTGTGCAAGCAGCGCCGGGCGACGACGGCTCTTTTCATCTCTGTGCTCTGCCCCTCTGGGGCCTGGTGGACGAAGGACTCCCTCGAACACACAATGTTGCCGCTCTGCCTTCTCCTCTCCTGGCATGCGCCACAGCGCATACGCGACGCGCCGCTGCGCATGTCAGCCGCTGAAATGCGCTGGCCTCTCCGCAGCCGGAAGCACGCCGAGCCTGCGACGCCTGAGAGCACGCTGCGCCTCGAAGCCGCCAACGCTGCGGCCGCAGCCTTTGCGCCCGGCACTGCTGCGGTGCCGCGGCGGCGGCGTTTGGAGCGCGTCGAGCGCAAGCGCGCGTCGAAGCGCCGCTTCGCCATCCGAACGACGCAGGCCATCAACACCCTGATGCGGGTCGCGCTGCCGACAATCGTTGCCTCGGTGCTCGGGCTGCTCTACTTTGACAACGTATCGCTCTACATCCGCTCGCTGCTCGACGTCGGCGCGATCGGGATGCTGATGGCGGACGAGGCGCAGTTTGTGCAAAACTTCCTCACCGTGATCGGGCTGCTCTTTTCGATCCTCGCAGGGAACGCCTACTCTGCCCTCTACGAGCAGCAAGAGGCAATCTACTTTGCCCTGTTCCAGGAGGTGTCGGAGGCCAAGTCGCTGCTCGAGCAGACGACCCTCGTCTGCCAGGGCCGCCCCTTTTACCAGGCGGCCCTCCACTACATCCGCCTGTACGTCAAGCGAGACCTGAGGCAGCTCGACGTGCCGCCGGCGCGGGCACTGAGAGAGAGAGAGAGAGGCGCGAGACGTGCCTCCGGCCCGGCCCGCCGCCCTCGGGAGATGGCCTCGGACCTAGAGAGGGAGGGGAGGGGGAGGGACAGCGCGGAGGAGGCTACCGCGCGCCTGCCCACGCCCTCTCTCTTCCTGCCCCAGGCGCAGCTCCTCTCCTCCAAGCCAATGGACGACCCTCTCGAGTCGATCATGTACATCACCTCGGTCGGCGTCCCGTCCGTCGTGTACGAGACGGTCAAGAACCTGCGCCAGGCGCGCGGCTGACGCACGACACTCCCCCGACCCGTCCACGACCCTGACGCGCCTCTGAGCCGTCGGTGACGCGTCCATGACACGTCCACGACGCGCCCCTGAGCCACCCACGGTGCGCCAGGCGCGCGGATACCGTCTCGGCGCGATGCAGCGCAAGTTCCCCGCACTCGGTGCGCGAGGGGCGGTGTGCTGCCGCAGCTCTCTGCCGTGCCCCGGGCTCACTGCCCCCGGCGCGTGTGTCGCTTGCAGGGATCGGCCTGCTATACCTGCTCGCGATGATCGAGCTGCTCGCCTTCCCTCTGCTCGGGGCGGGCTCGGCGGGCAGCGCCTCGATCCTCACGCTGCAGTCGATCCTGTTCGCCTTTCTGTGCGGCGCGCACGTGCTCGTCCTGCGCATCATCCAGGAGCTTTGGCAGGCGAGCGGCGGAGTCTTCAACGTGGACGAGGTGCTGCAGCAGATGGTCTTTGGCCTCGAGGAGGCGCCGCACCCTTACCTTCGCTCGCACGCACACACACGCACGCACACACACACACACACACACACACACACACACACACACACGCACGCACGCACGCACGCACGCACGCACGCACACACACGCACGCACGCGCACACACACACACACACACGCGCACACACACACACACACGCGCACACACACACACACACACACGCGCGCGCACACACACATACACGCATACACACACACACACGCAGGCGCAGGCGCAGGCGCAGGCGCAGGCGCAGGCGCAGGCGCAGGCGCACGGCTCGGCCGCCGCGCCGCACAACTGCTCACGCCCTCCTCTCAGGAGCTCGAGCTGCGTTCCCGCGCGTCGGGCTTGCCTCCCGTCTCGCCGCTCTCAGCGAGCCTCCCTCCCTCCTCGATCCGCGCAGACGGCCTCACCCCGTGGGGGCTTGTCGCCGGCCGCGCCACCGGCCTGGAGCTTCCCCGAACACTTTCGCGGAGCCTCCCTGTAGGTGGGACCCTGTCGCCGACCGGGGCACCGGCCGGATGCAGCAGCCGCCGCCGCAGCAGAGCGAGATCGACGAGCTGCGCGCCGAGCTGCGCGACGCGATCGCGCGCGCCGAGGCGGCGGAGGCGGCGAGCGCAGCTTCGGGCGCGCGCGGGCTCTCTGCGCCGCAGATCATGCGGAGGGAGCTGTCGAGCCAGCCCGCGCTGGCGAGCCAGCCCACGGGCGGGCCGGCGCTAGGGACGGAGCAAGGCGCGCCCCAACCTTGCGCACTGCCCGCCGCGACGACGCCCCCTCACCCTCCAGCCCCCGCCCCTCCCCGCGCAGTGGCGGCCCACCATGCTTCGGGGGTTGGCGTTGCGGCGGAGCAGCCGGCGGAGCACTCGGCGGCCGCGGCAGAGTCCACGTGGCTCGGTTTGCCGCCGGCGCAGGACGGGGAGTCCGCCGAGGAGCGACGCCGCCGCTTGGCGCGCCTAATCTCGAAGCGACGGCGCGTGTCGCTTCTCGGCCGAATGCGGCTCGGGATGATGCGTGCCGTGCAAGCTATCGGCTCCTGACCGAGCCGGCTCCGTGCGCGTAGTACAGAGTCTGTGTGAGCGGAGTGCGAGGCGACTCTCGCGGAAGCCTGTCTGGGGTCGTGGGGGGAGGAGGGAACACCCCGAGCGCTCCATGCCTTCTAGTCTTCACGGAGAAATTCAGAGTCCGACGTGTTGTGTACGCGTTATACTCTACCGCCGACAGTACGCAGGGTCGCAGCGCACATACTCCACATATGTTTATGATTACTGTATGTAAAGCGTACGGGCTACGGCGCGGAGAAGGCGGATGATCGTACGATATGAACGCGACGCGGTTGCTTCCCCCAGGATTAGTCTTCTCTGCCTGCGGGAACAGCGAACACCCTCGGGCGGCCGGGTGCGGGTGGAGCTGCGGCTGGAGCTAGCATGGCTCGATAGAGCCGAGACCCTCTGGGGGGAGGCGAGGGCCCTAGGGGGTACCCATGCGGGGGGGAGATGGGGTCCCCCAACCATCGCCATCTGGTAGGTGCGGCCAAGGCGGCGGCGCTACAGCGAGACCGCAACTTTTGGCCTGGCATGCTCCTCTCCGACTACGACTGGTCGGAGAATGGCGTGATTGCGTCGGCGCGGCAGATCCAGTCAGAGTACTGGAGCCTAACCTACTACTCTCTCTTCATCAGGGTGTATCCGCAACTTTGCTCAGAGGGAAAGGCTGCGTGAGGCCCTTGTTGTGTGTGGGGGGGGTCGATGTGGGGGGGTGGGCGAAGCGCTCTCCCCCCCTCCCTGTCGTCGCGTGTCGTCGTCATCTGTCTCGCGTCCACCCATACCGCGTTGGTGTCCAATCCGAGCTTGACTGTTCTTCACCTTCCTACCTAACCTAGAAAAACCTATCCCCCCCTGTAATTGAACCAACGTTCCAAAAAAGAAAAAGCGCGCGAGACGGCGTCGCGGGGTTGGCGGAGCCGCTCGCGTGAAATGCCATCGCCAATGTGCCGAAGTGGCGCGTCCACGGTTGGAAGTTGTGGCGGTCGGCGGCGGCAAGGCACAGTCCGGCGATGTCGTACAGCAGGACCGCTCCGGTGGGGGCGCGGGTCGTCGCGTCGCACACGTCGCCCCAGCGAGGACGGCGGTGGTGTTGACGCCGTGCAGCGCCACCGTGGTCTTGAAGGTCGTGTCTGGCCAGGCCACCAGAGGCAGTTCCTCGGCGGTGTATATCTTCGGATTGGGGGCCTGGGCAGGCTCCGTGTCGTTTAGCCCCTCCGCGCGGAAGAAGTCTTCCGGGTGGAGCTCGCACTCCCCGAGGGTCGCCTCGTCCGCCTCGGCGTGGAAGCGCTCGACTAGCACGAGCCACTTCGAATAGGAATCGATCTGGGAGATGTCGTCGGGCTCCTTGGAGATGAAGACGGCGAGCTTGGGCGCAATGCGCTGAAACGCCGCGGGTGTGATGACCCATTCGGCCAGCGGCAGAGCCGCGGCTGGATCTGTCATCTTCCCGGCCGGGAGGACAAGCTTGGCAATGGCCTTGTAGGGCAGGTCGGTGGTCGTTGAGAAGCCCATCGCGGAAAGCACTGGCTTAAAGTCGTCGATGCCCGTGCAGGTCATGCTTGCTTTTCCGGTCGGGCCGGCCACGTGTCTTGCGTACTCCACCGAGCCGATGTCGTGGGTGCGGTGGTGGGTAAAAAGCTTTCCAACCTCCCCCACAAAAAAGAAAAAGCGCCGTATCGACCTCAGGCACCTCGACCTCCGAATTCGCCATGTTCGCTGCCCTTCTGGCCTCGACCGCTCTTCTCACGCCTGCGCCGGCCCAGTCGCGCTCGGCCGTGACCACCGACGCCAGCGTCAGCCGCCGGAACGCCCTCCCGCTCTTCGGTGCCGGCGCCCTTGCGCTGGCTGCGGCCCCTCGTGTGGCGTTGGCGGACGACGATGCCATCGCCGCCATCGCCGCTCGCGCCAACGCGGCGGCGGCGGCCGAGCGCGAGGCCAAGAAGCCCAAGCCCCTTCGCAACGACGAGGAGAGCTCGTTCCAGGTCGGCGGCGTCCTCGTCGCTGGCGTCGCCCTCTCGGTCCCCTTCTTCTTCAAGAACCTCCAGCGGCTGGGCACCAAGGTGCGGCTCCCACGGCATTTCTGTAGTTCGTCCACCGCTAGTCCACTAGCCTAGAGACTCCGTCCCGCCGTCTCGAGGCCATCACCCCCTTCCCCGTCTCCTTAGATTGCCTCCGGCGGCAAAGACGACGGGCGTGGCTGACGCGGCCGCGTCATTTTCAGAACATGCCGAGACAGGAGGGCAGTGGAGCAACGCGCACGAACGCAATCGCAAGCTCTGCTTTCCAACTGTTGGTCGGATCTCCGTCCCCTGCGAGGCCTGGTGTAGAGACTGTGAGTAGTCGCGAAACGAGATACCCCGCTTGTTCCGTCACGTGCTATAAGAGTTAAGAGAATAGAGAACGCGCTCCCCGCGCGCGGGGCGAACAACCACATTGAGTCCAGCTCGCCCACGACACGCGCACACATTGGTCACTGCACGCCACGCCCGCGGCACGCGGCGACGCCCCTCGCCCCCCTGCCCCCAGCGGCCCAGCGCTTCCACGCCCCGCGCCAAGCAGAAGTTGCAGAGAGAGAGAGCAGAGTGAGATCATCAGACCTCCCAAACTGGCACTGGCCACTGCCGCGCCCCCGCAGCCCCGTCCAGTCGCGGTCCCCCCCCCCCCCCCCCGGACGCAGTGTCGCAGAGCGAGGACCCAATCCGAGCTTCGAGCGCATCGAGGAACCCACGCCACACCCGGGCTCCGCGCCCTCCACAGCGCCCAGGGCCAGGCGCCGAGCGCCGCCACGCCGGGGCAGCCGCCCCCACCCCCCTCCGCGTGTGCGCAGCGCGCCTCGTTCAACGCAAAGAGACTCGAGGCAGCGCGCGCCGCTGCAGCGCACGTGCATGTTTCTTTTCTTTTCCATGTGCCACGGTGCCAGTGCGCGCCAGTCCCGTGCCTGTGTTGTAAAGCTTTTTTGTTGCGTAAAATTCTTTTCAGTGCCCGCGAACCCCACTATATAGCGCCACCTCGTGAGCTGTACTGTGAGCTGTGTGTTGTGCGTCCAGCAGTCCGGACCCAGTGCTACGGCCGGTGACAGCGTGCCTCGTGTCGGCTCCCGAGCCAATCGTGTGCAGCGTGTGTGCGTGTGGGCCCGTCCTCCATGCTAGGAGGTGTGTAAGACTGACTGACTCACTGAATTCTTTTCAGTCGTTGAGCTTTCTTTGATTGACTCAGTCAGTCAGTCTTCTCTCTTGCAGAGACTGATGCCTCTCACGTCGAAGCAGCGAAGGCAAAGGTCGCCGCCTCGGCCACTAAGGCTTCCGCTCAGAAGGCCAGTGCCGAAGCTGCGGTTGCACTCAAAGCTAAGCGAGCGCAGTCGGACGCCTTCGCGCTGAACAGCCCAGTAGAACGGCGCGGGCTGTGCATATGCTGCTCGTACCCCAATAATCCAGACGTTGCCCTGCCGGGTGCAGTCTCCGATCAGCGCGCGATGGAGAAGATGCTAATAGAGAACGGGTACGAGGTCACCTTTATCAGCGACGAGGACAGTTCGTCTACGAGGAAGTCAGGCGAGCCCGTGATTGTCATCGATCCCAGCCACACGCGATCGGGCCAGCGAGGGACAGTGGTTGAGGCTGCACTCGGCGAAGAGACAACGGTTCGCTTCGCGGACGGCGAGGTTCAGGCCATCCCAAGCAAAAGTTTGGCGTTGGACCACTCAACTAGGGAGGGCATGTTGAGCAACATCAAGGCCCTCTGCGAATGGCTCGATGCAAAGCCGAACAGACAAGGCTGGATCAGCTATTCTGGACATGGCGCTCAGACAGCTGACACGAGTGGCGAGGAAGCGGACGGGCTGGACGAATGCATGATTCCGACCGATTATCAAGAAGCTGGACTGCTCACCGACGACGATCTGAAGGAGATCTGCGCCTTCCGCAACGACTCGTCGCTCATGGTGTTCATGGATTGCTGTCATTCAGGTGCACATACTGCGCGGGGCTGCGTCACTTTGCCCAGCGCTCACCCTGCTTCCCCTGTAACAGGTACCATTCTTGACCTGCCTTTTGAGCTCCAAAGCACCGCTATTGGCCCTGAGTACGAATACGACGACGGAAACGGCCTCATCTTTTGCGTCTCGGCGGCACTTGACTCTCAGGAGGCCTTCGAAACAAATGAGGGCGGCATATGCACCCGCGCTTTCCTCGGCGCTTATACGCCGGGCGCAAAACCCGCTGAGGTGTGCCTTGGCTCGCCGCCCATCACCCCACTCTGCACCTGATCTGAGTATAACCTCCCGCCACGGACAGATGTTGGAGCAAATGCGACGGTATGCAAAATTGAAGAAGATGCCACAACTGATTACCATGCACTCCAACAGAGAGTTCAGCGACGAAACCCCCGCGTTCACCGACCCGGATCCGGTGACGACCTCTCGGGCGCTGACTGACGCCGTCTCGAGTGGCCTCGAGTACGCAAAGGGCGTCGCTCCAGCAGGCCCAATCAAGGAGTGGATCGAGAAAGCAATCTCTAAGCTCTCACCAGCTGACGGATCTCGCGGTCTCGATTTCTACGCGCTTCAGGACGACATCAACGACTTTCTTCCCTTCGAGGTCGACTTCAACCTGCAGGACGGTGTCGACTTTTTCGAAGACATCACCGGCCTTGACTTGGACGGCGATGGTACCGGCGCACGCAGCTTAAACGAACAGGGCTTCGTTCGAAGCCAGGTGCTGAAGGGCTTGGCTCTGGTGACGCTGGAGGCAACAGCACTGGGAATGGGACTCGGAAAGGCGGTGGCGGAGGAGAGGCCTCCGGCGGTTGAGGAGAGGGTGGAGGTGGGAGTGTCGGTAGGGGGGGAGAGGGCTCAGGGGGCTTCGGGTTAGGTGGCGGTGGTGGAGAGGGCTCAGGGGAGGGCGGCGGCGTTGGTGCAATGTCGGGTGGCGGCGACGGTGGTGGGGTGGGCGTCTTGTCAGGCGGGAAGGGCGGCGGCGAGGGCGGCGGGCGGGGAGCCTTGTCTGGCGGGAAGGGCGACGGCGAGGGCGGAGGCAGCGGCGTCGCGCCGGGCGGGAAGGGCGGCGGCGACGGGGGCGGGCTCGGTGCCTTGCCGGGCGGATAGGGCGGCGGCAGAGGCGGCGGCGTGGGGGCGAGGCCGGGCGGGAAGGGCGGCGACGGCGGCGGCGTGGGCGCCTTGCCGGGCGGGGTGGGTGGCGGTGACGGCGGCGGGGTCGGGGCCTTGCCCGGCGGGAAGGGCGGCGGCGAGGGCGGCGGGCGCGGAGCCTTGCCTGGCGGGAAGGGCGACGGCGAGGGCGGAGGCAGCGGCGTCGCGCCGGGCGTGAAAAAAACCTTTTCTTCGTGCACGCGAATCAGGGTTCCAACTTTTTCCGGGGTATGGTATGGTGCCCCCAAAGGGTGGGGGGGTATGGTCCTGACCGCCTGCTGCCTAGGGAGGCTGGGTCTGTCAGCAGGCGGGGGGGTATGGTCTCGAGGTGGGTTGCGCCGACCATACCATACCCGCAAAAAGTCCGAACCCAGTAGAGTCAGACGGCCCTCGCAATGGGCACGAAGCGCACCGGCGGTAGCGCGTCATTAGACGACCTCAAGGTCAAGGTTCGGCGAGGCAGTGCTCCTCCGTGCGGGCCTCAGCTGGTCGGGTACTTGTCGTGCCTCGACGCAAAGGGCGGCAACAACGCGTCTTGCACCGAGATGCGCTTGGCGCTGGACCGGTGCATGGCGCTGGCAGGGCCAAAACCGAAAAAGCAGCACAAGCCACCGATAAACTATTTCTTGCAGCAGGTCGCCGCCGCCCGCGACACGCCCGCGCGACACACAACTCGCCCACATTGCTGACGGTATCCTCGTGCGCGCAGCTGGTCAAGTCTTTCAAGAGGAGATGACAATGCATGCGGCTGAGTCTACGCGGCCTTCGCGCTCTCTGTTCATGCTGTCATGCCACGTCCCCCTGGCTCTGCCGCGGTCCGCCATCTATTTCTCTCGGTCTTGCGCGTGAGGCATCGTGGTTTCTGTCCAAGACCGACTGACCGAGTCTTGTGTGTCGCTTCGCGCGCGATGACCGATGTGTGGCTTTGAGAAGGGTCCGATACAAGATGACCGATGTGTCTTGAAGGGTCCGATACACACATACTAGAACCAGCCCATAAAGTACACGAGGCACCTTACAGGTTCTCTAGCGCGCGGAGCATCCGTGAGACCGCCTCCTCTAGGGTGGCACGGCTGGTTCCAAAGTTGAGCCGGACACAATCGTCGCCTCCTCCAAACTCGGCCGCGCCGGTGAGGCCGACACCGTGCGCCTCGAAGAATGCGGCGGCGGTGGTGCCCGCCAGTAATCCCGGCACCTGCACCCACATCAAGTAGGACGCCTCTGGGCAGGTCGCGCGCACGCCCTCCGCCTGCGTCAGCGCGCCAAAGGCGAAGTCGCGGTTCGCGCGCAAGTACAAGAGCAGCCGCTGCCTCCACAGCTCCGACTCCGCGTCCCCGTAGGCGGCGGTCGCCGCCACGTAGCCGAACGGGGTCACCTCCGCTGCGTCGGAGCCGCCCGCGCAGAAGCGGCGCCGCAGCGGCTCGTGCGGGACGGCGGCGACGGCGAGGTCCAGCCCCGCCACGTTGAAGCACTTAGAGGGCGATGTGAGGAAGATCAGGCGCTCGCGCAAGCCAGGGACGTCTCCACCCCCGCCGTCCGACGGCAGCAGGCCGAGCATCGAGCAGAAGGGGGCCCGCTCCGGCTCGAGCGGCATCTCTCCCCACACCTGAGGCGCGGCCACCGTCGAGTGGAGGGCTCCGAACGCGAGTGGGGGGGGTCGAGGACTGCCACACCTCGTCAGAGCAGATGACAACGTCGCTCTCGACGCAAAGCCTCGCGACGCGCTCGAGGTCGTCGCGGCTCCAGCAGCGGCCCGCGGGGTTGTGCGGGTTGCAGAAGTGCAGCAGCCGCGTCGCTGGGTGTGCCAGTTCGGAGGCGAGCCTCTCCCAGTCCAAATCGAACCGAATCTCGATAGACGATGCGCCTGAGTCGATGAGCGGGATCTGAACAAGGGTGGCGCCGTTGCGCTCGACGGCAGCGAGGAACGGCGGGTACAGCGGCGTGAGCAAGACGACGCGGTCCTCGCGGGACTGGCAGGCTGCGCGCACGGCATGGTGCAAGCCCGGCAGCAGCCCGGGGAGCCAGCGCAGCCATGAGCGATCGGGCGTCTCGGTGCTGCCGTAGAGCGTCTTGAGCCTTCGAAGGGTCAAGTCCTCAAGCTCCGCAGACGCGTCCGTATATCCGTAGATGCCGTGCTTTGCCCGCGCCACCACCGCGTCCACGACGGGACGGGGCGCCTCGAAATCCATGTCCGCAATCCAGCATGGAACGATGTCTCTCCCGACAAACGCTCCGCGCTTGCCTTGCATCTTGCGCGAGCATGTGCCCGTGCGGTCAGGGCAGGCTGACGGCAGAGGGGGTGCCGACGTCATTCGACGCACGCCGCTGCGGCCGAGTGCACTCCGTGTGCACTGCTACTCTGCTGGAGGAATGGTTGTCGGGGACACCATCCCGGCGTGAACACGCCGATCTGACAAAATCCTCAATCCCTACCGCACGCGCCGCGACGCGGCGCGTGCGGTAGGCTTTGTTTGAAGTCAAAAGTCGAATCAGGGCGCCGTCGGCGTTGTCCCTGGATTTCCTCTCACGGACCGCCCGTCCGGCACCGCTCCGGGACGCACGCCGGCGAAGCACCATCAAGCTGCTATCTATACGGCCCCGGCATCGCCTTCCCAGGCTTAGCTAGACTGAGAGATATTGTGCACATGGTCAGCCTCTACAATATATACACTGACACTGAACCTCCCAGAGCTCGTCCCGGTCCGTCACGGCCATCCTCGTCCTCCGGCGCGGGCCCCCGGCCGCGGTGCGGTGCGGCGGCGTCACAAATCCGCGCGCGCCACCTGCCGAGCCCCTGCGGCGATTACCGCAAGTCCTTCGCGAAGAGAAGGAGGCGACGGCGGCGGTCGAGCTGCCGGCCGGTGCCTCGAAGCGGCAGCGCGCACTGTATGCCATCAAGATGAACATGGCGGCCGCGCCGGAGAGGGAGGCCGAGGCGACCAAGGCGGAAGCGGCGGTACTCGCTCCCTCCCACGCGGCGCCGCCTCGCCGCCGCCCTCCATCCCCCCCCCCCACACACACCACGCAGGCTCGCCGCCCAACGCGACACGAGCTGGCGGCGGCGGTGGCGGGAGGCTGGAGCAAGTACGAGGACAGTCTTCCTTTCTGGTCGCCAGACCCCACCCGCCGGGCGCAGCAGGAAGCATGGTTCGAGGAGGTTGCCAGTTCGCGGAGCAGGCTGGTGTGGACGGCATGGGGTACCCGTGGGATGGGGACTGGTGCGATGAGGACGCTTCCGACTACGATGAGGAGTACCTCCCGTCCCATCGTGAGGATGTGCTGTTCGACCTCGAAGACGGCGGCCCGTGGGGGGCGAGACCTCGGAGGCCGACAGCTGCGGAGCTCGCGCCTCTGGCGTGGCCGCACAGCTACTGGTGGCACGACCGGGACCGAATCGTCCTGCTGTACATGCACATGCTCGACAACCCGCCTGATGGCTGCTTCCTTTGGGAGGCTCGCGTGTGCGAGCAGGTGTGCCGTCTCTGGTCAGACGGCCGTGACAGCCCCCGCACGTCCGCAATCAGCTGCAATGTCCGACAGGGACGACTAGAGGGGGCGCGACCGGCATCGACAAGGGCGGAGGCGGAGGCGATGTGTGAGGCGGGCATGAGGGTGGTCTGGTCATATAGTGCACTTCCCGGCGGCGAAACTTCCGGCGGCGAAGAGATTCATGGCGCCACCTTCTTGGTGGGCCGTGCCGTGACGGTGCGGCGACGTCTCATGACGCATCAGTGCTTTGAGGATGAGGCGGCGCCTGGCTGGCGCATGCTATCCTCATTGCCCTCGTGCCCCAACCCGCACATGCGGTTCCCCATGTCGAGTGTAGCTTGCGAGAGATTGTGAGCCGCGGGGGAGAGCCCCTCAAGCCACTCTTGCCGCGCACTGCATGCAAATGCGGACAGCGAATCGGGGAGGGAAGAGATGAGGATCCGCGACCTCTACGGGTATCCTCTACGCGATCTCTTCTCGAGGCGGATGAGGCGGATGATCCGGAGCGCGTCGAAGAACTTCGTCCCGCGCCCCGAGCATGCATCTTGTGTTTGAGAGACGCTTGGGATTTGTTTGGGATTTGTTGTCCGGATCTAGTCGTAGTCTAGTGTGCGATACCCAGTGTGACGGCACGAATATGTATGTAATTGTACGTGCACACAGAGGACACACACACACACACACAGAGGAAAAACCTCGAAGCCCTGGGAGCCCTCCCCTTACTGTTGCGGGCTACTGTGCTGTATGAATGGTTGGGCAGGTGTGAACAACACCTCGTGACCACGGCGCCACAGGCGCCTGTTGATGGGTCCAGGTGATAGCCCTGAATGGTCAATGCATACGCCTAGTTGGGCCTCAGATCGCCCGACCGCGTCCCGGTGCTCTGTGGTCGGATTTGTGACGCCGCCGCACCGCGCCGCGGCCGGGGGCCCTCCGGAGGCCAAGGATGGCCGTGACGGACCGGGACGAGCTCTGGGAGGTTCAGTGTCGGTGTGTACATTGTAGAGGCTACCCATGTGCACAATATCTTGACTGAGAGCTAAGCCAGGGGAGGCGATGCCGGGGCCGTACAGCAGCTTAATGTGCTTCGCCGGCGTGCGTCCCGGAGCGCGGGTGCCGGACGGGCGGTCCGTGAGAGGAAATCCAGGGACAACGCCGACGGCGCCCTGATTCGACTTTTAACTTCAAACAAAGACAGTCGCACGCGCCACAGGGCGGTGCGTGCGACTGTCAGGAGCGGATCCGTCAGTTAGTCGTGTTCACGCCGGGATCGTGTCCCTCACTATACTTGCCCAACCATTCGTACAGGAGAGTATATAGAATTAGAGAGGAAAGGGACAATCGAGTGGTAAAACTGGAGGGGACCCCGGGCCTCGATACGAACGCGACATGGGAGCCAGGCCACAGAAAATATTAAGAATTCTTCGAACAGGAAAAAGGCCGTCTTTTGCCGCCGCTCTGCCTTACCACCGACCCTTACCGTGCCGCGCCGCCTTTACACACACACCTTACCTCCTGCTCGACTGAGTTTGCGCTGAGAAGTGACCCGAGCCGCCGGGTGCCCCGCAGCGGCCTCGCCGGGCCAGAAGAACCGGTCCGCGAGTGCTCCGCAGCAACCTCGCTGAGCCAGAACGTCGGCTCGCGAGGTGGGGTGCTAGTATGAGACCGATACGTCGCAGTTCTCTTGCTCCAAGCGCTTGCGCTTCGGCGGTTAGTGGTGCACTAACCTCCGAGAAACCCTTCGGGTCGCTCCTCATCGCAAACCCTGTCAGCAGAGTCCTCCTACGGGAATGTACGTACTTATAGCTTACTAGCTTGGTGGCTCGCTAAACGCTCGCCTCGCTGTCATGTGTGCGTGCGTACTTCCCGAGTGTGGCGGAGCTATACTCCGAGGCAGGTCAGAGGTTGGTTGTAAAAAATGAACGAAACACGCTATTGCACACTCACAACATACCGAATGACATACGTCTCGCACAAATCGACACACGCACGCTAGAGACGCTCCTTCCTACAATCTACACATCGCAAACACAGGAGACAGCTCCTACCTACCATCTATCTTCACCGCGCCAAACACACAACATGGTTCAGAGTCTGGACTCAGCTTTCACGCAGGGTGCACGCCGCTGCACGTGGCGTTCCCGACGGGTTTGCGCGATCGCGTCGATAGCCAAACACACGATCCTTCAGCCGATCGAACAGTGTGTTTTGCTCACGTCGCGTGCCATGCAACTCTGCGCCATCAGCATGTGCACTGAACCATCTCGCCTGCTCCTCACGGAAGCGCTGGGCGGCATCGGGCCCAGTGAATTGGGATCGCAGCGGGGGCGGCGAAGGCGGCTGCGGCTGCGATGGTCGTCGTGAGCGGAATGGCGATGTGAGGAAGCCGATCGCCCCCTCCAGCCAGCCGTAGAATGTGTCGCGATCGCCGTAGCCCGTTGGACTGAAGAGGCCGTAGTTCGGACGGCCGGGGTCACCCACTGCATAGTAATACGGAATCTCGCCCTCAGGATCGAACGCCTCCATGATGACGGAGCCATCAGCACCGCGCACAGGGGCAGGGGCAAGGGAGCGATGGTGTGCGGCCTCGCCGGGCGACATGTGTGCGGTGTGCGCGTCAAGCCGCTGCTGAGAAGTAAAGCTGCCGCGGTGAAAGAACATGGCACGTGGGGTCGGCGCATAAGCGGGCACGACTGTTGGCTGCTCGGCTGGCTGCCCGGTTGGTTGCGCGGGTGGCTCGTCGTCATCTGGCTCCCAGTCCGACGGAGGTGAGCCCCACCCGTCGTGGTCGCCGCCCGACGGCTGCCAATCGCCTGGATGGCTGCCGTAGTTGGCGAGCGGATGGCGAGCGAGCCAATCTTCCGGCTCCTCGACAGCGGCAGCAGTGCCGGAGGACGGCGGCGGCGGCGGCGGCGCGCCAGCTGCTGCAATGCGCTCAGCCCGAAGCTCACGCGCACGTCTACCTTCAAAATAGTAGCCGACGTCGACGCCACGTGCGACACGATCTTGATAGATGCGCTCGTCCCATTCCTCCTGCGGCTCGCCCGGGCGACTCAGCGTGTCCTCATCGACGCGGCGCTTGAGTTCGGCGTACGGTAAGCAGTACGTCTGCAAACAGCGAGAGAACAGCAGTGAGGAGCACCGCACGGAGAGCAGAGAGAGCTCAGTTGTGCACGCACCTGCTTGGCAGGCTCAGAATCTTCCTCGTCGCTGGCATAATCGTCCATCTCGCGCTCGGCGTGGAACCGCTCGCCGCCATCATGATCGCCCATCCAGTCGCAGTAGGACTCCTCGTGCATCTCGAACCCATGGCAGAGGCACCACTCACTGAAGGCAACGTACTCGTCGTCGTCGATGGGATCCTGCCCATCGGCCTCGAGCATCTCGTTGAGCTCGTCGATGTCGGGCCGGTCATCGTGCTCGTCCTCGTCGCCGTCCTTGCTGTCGACTTCCGCTACCGATTCCGCTGCCGCCGCCTCCGCTGTTACCGCCTCCGCTGCTGCCACCTCCGCTGCCGCCGCCTCTGCTGCCGCCGCCTCCACTGCCGCCGCCTCAGCCGCCGCCTCAGCAGCCGCCGTCTCCGCTGTCGCCGCTGCAGCTGCGCGCCTTCGCTTCTGGTCTGCGGTCCGCTTCGCCTTCCGCTCCTCCGGTGACATTGCGCTTGCCTTGCGCTTGGCGGCAGCAGCCTGTGAAGCAGCTTGCTGGTGCGAGAGAGCCTCCGGCTGCGCCTGCCGGTTCACGCCCGCGCGCCACTGCGCCTCGTGAGCATCCGTCGAGGTCGAGGTCGCGGCATCGAGGTCGGCGCGCATCACCGAGACACCGCCAGCCTTCATGGGCGCTTGCAAGGAGGAGCTGGGTGGCGGCTTCACCGGAAGTCCTTCGTGGTCGCCCTCTCGGTGCGCCCCCCCCCCCTCCCCCCCCCCTTCCCTGCCCCCTGGCGCGCGCGGCGTGCACCTCAACTCCCTCCCTTCCCTGCACCCACCCGGCACGAGGGGCCCGAGGCTCTCCTTAACCTTATTTTTACGTGTACAGTGTTCCTCGGGGGTACGCTCCTTTTACTGCATTTCGGTTTTCTGTAAAAGGTGTCGAGGTCCTGGAAGAACGTGTCGTGAGGGCGCTGGGAGCAGGGAGGGTGAGGCACGAACTCCCAACCCTAGTCCCAACTGAGCTGCTGCTGTGTAAGGTGTAACGCCACAGCTCTCAAGTCTCATGATCGCATCAATCCCTACACAAATCACACATAAAATATCATGTGTGGAGAGAGAGAGACGCATTTCCATCGCTTCGGTGTGAAGGGGGTGAACCGCGCCATCCTCGATCGCCGTGCAAAGCTCGCTTCCGAGCTCTCACGCCGCGCGTAGGGCCCTTAGGGGCCTAGAGAACACAACCCCCTCTCCCTTTTCTCCCAGAGTTTAAGCTAAAAGTCCACGGTGTGTGTGTGGTGTGGACGAGATATGGAGTATCGAGTAAAGCCGTAAGGACAATTGCGTCATGCGCGGGGACCCCTCGCTCGCCGGGTTCGTCAACCGGAAAGTCTTTCGAATAAAGACGCACTGGCCCCGCTCTCTAACTTTCGCTTAATATCTAGTCGACTCTGCTACTCGGCGCTCTCCTTCTCTTGCCGCTCGTCCATCATCGCCTTCGCCTTCGCAGTCACCTCCGCCATGAGCGCCTGCACCTTGTTCATCGGGCCCTCCTGCTGCTCGCGCGCGAGCTTCTCCAGCTCCGGCGGCGGCGCAAACTCCTCGCACGTCTTGCCCAGCGCCCAGGTCTTGAGGTTCTCGTACGTGGTTGCGCCGCAGATGAACTGCTTGGAGCGCTTATTGTAGAAGAATGGCACGCCGTTGCACCTGGGGCGAGGGGAGTTTTGCAGCCTCGGAAGCGGGGCTGGACGGTCGGCGAGCCGCACGCGCGCGGGGGAACGGGGGGGGGGGGGAGGGGGGGGGGGATGTGCCACGGTCGACTGACGCCAGCCGGCAGAAGGAGCACTCGGTGTGAGCGCCCGGCGCGGCTGGCGCTAATTGACGTGTCAGGGCCCGGAGAGGCGGAGGGTCCCCAAAACGGGGCTCCCTCCTGAGGGCCCCGTGCTGTTGCACCCGGATGAAGGCGGCCCCGGGGGGGTTGGGACCCGAGGCTGCTGATTCGTGATGGGGTGCGGTGGGCGGACTGCCCGTTGGGAAGCACTGGAAGGCGTGCCACGGCGCCCGTCGGCATTTAAGCGTGAGTGCGGCGGAGCTCACCGTCCAGCGTCGAGCCTCTGCAGCAGCTCGAGGTTCCTGCTGTCGTGCCACACCTCGAAGCAGCGGATCTTGACGCCGAGCTCGTTGCAGAGCTGCTCTGTGAGCGGCTCCATGAAGGCGCAGTAATCGTCGCCCTTGCCGCGAAACTGGATAAGGTCGGTGCCCTCGACCGGCTCGTCCGTGGTGAACTTGAGCTCCGACATCTGGGGTCGCGTGGCAAGGCGTGAGTCAGGGCCGACGCGGCCGCAAGATTTCGTGTGTGCGCGCTCACCATAAAGGCCTTGGCGAGCGCGCTCCTGTCTGACCGCCGGCGGCCGAGGCCGAGCTGAAGACGCGGGAATCGCCGCTGCCCGCGGCGGTCGGCCGACGGCGCAGACGCGGACGCCGCGGCCAGCGCGCAGCAGAGCGCGAGGATGGTTCTCATGATGTATGTAGCCGATTTTCTTTTTGAGAGCGCCTTCGTTGTAAAAATTTTTGGAAGCCGTCTCAATTCTCGAAACGCGGACATGTCCGACTGCTGTCCAAGGATCCCGCCCCGCCCACCCTGTCGCCTGTCGCCCCGCCCCAACCAGCCCGGGCTTTCCGCGCTTGGGGTTTCGCCCGTGCCGCCTGCCCCTGCCGGGGGAAGGGGCTCCCCCCCCCCCCGATTTCCCCACCGCCGAGCCCCCCCCCCCCCCGCCCGCCCGCCCCGCCGCCTCGCCGTCATATACTCGCTTTTGGGTACAGACGGCCAGACGTTTGCGAGAAGAGAGCCGATACACCGCACCGCGAGGGCACGCACGCGGCTCGCGGGGGGGCCTCTCTGGCGTGCCGTTCGCGACTCTCGCGGCAGCACACGGCAGCACGCGGCCCGGTCCACTGCTGCGTCCGTCTGTGGACTGTGCGTCTGTGCACACACCTCTCGCGGCGTTCCGTCTCTCCTTCTTTCTATCGGTTAGATAGTCTATCGCACTCGCAGCGCACTCCCCACACTCTCGCCGTTTGAGGTTTGTGTACTGTGAGCCTAGCGCAGCGCAAACTCGCCGTCTGAGCCTAGCGCAGCGCGAACTCGCTCTGAGCCAGCGCAGCGCCTCGGACCGAGGCTCCCGCTCGGACACGAACCAACATTTTAATATAATTCAATATATTTGGCTCGCCACAACACGGCGTGAACAAAAAAAAGCCGTGTCCGCCGCGCCCCCCGCCCCCACGCCGTCAGGCTAGTGCAAGTGAGCAGTGTGCGCCGCTCTCCGCGCTCGACGGGGTCGCGCTGGGGTCGTGTGATTCGTTTATCCCTATAACAAGCTTGCTCTCCTGCCTCGCTGCCTGCTCTCCTGCCTCGCTGCCTGCACGCTGCACCCCAGCCACAGAAATTTATTCGTTCCCACGAAGGGGTGCATTTGAGGCTCCGGCGGGGCGCGTGCGCCGCCCGCGCGGGGACGGGGCTAGGGACGGGGGGTCGACCGGCATGCTTGCGGGAATCCTCAAGTTCGTCCCGCGACCTCCTCGCTCGCCTCCGTGTCGCTGAGTCCGCGCCGCTCCCAGCACGCCAGCGGCCGCACCGCGTAAGCGGTCAGCCGCGGCGCGCCCGCGACGAGCGCGTCCACATCCGCCCGCGCGAGGCCCGGCCCCGGCTCGTGCCGCCCGTACAGGGCGGGCAGAAAATCGTCGAGCGGGAGGAGGTGCGAGAGGAAGCCGGAGCGGAGCAGCTTGCGCGCGCCCGAGGCGTAGAGCACGTACGCGGTCGTCTTGTACGAGAAGGAGGGCCGCACGAGCCGCAGCCGCACCTAGTCCCGGCGCGGAGCCGTGACGGCGCGAGAGGCGGGAGGGGAGCACGGCGTCCGCCCTCCCGCGGCCGCACATACCTCAACGCCGCTCGGAGGGTCGTCGACGCACACCTCACGGGCTGGCCAGCACGCCTGTCCAGCCAAGAGTCGCCCCGGTGACGGGAGTGTGGCCCGGCGCCGAGGCAGGACGCGTCGGCTCGCCTTCCTGCCGAGGTAGAGCAGGTCCGGCGGCGCGAGCCGCCCCGCCGCGACGAGGTCGTCGAGGCGGGCGAGCGCACCCGTGAGCAGCTCCTCGAAGGCGGGCGTGAACTCGACGTCGTCCTCCGCGACAATCGCGCGCGCCAGCCGCCGCCTCGCAACCTCCTCCCAGACTGCGTGGTGGGAGAGGGCGCAGCCGACCTCTCCCCACTTGAGATCGCGCGCGTAGAAGCGGTAGCGCGCGCCCTCGAGCCGCCAGCCGCGCCAGAGGCGCACGCCACGCGACCGGAGCTCCGTCGCGTCCAGCTCCCTTCCGTCGACAGCGTCGTGCACCCTCACGCTGCAGAGGCCGGCCCTCGCCGCGCGGTCGAGGGCGGCGGCGCGGCGGGCCGGCCTGCGCCGGAGCGAGATCAGATAGGTTGGCAGATGGCTGGCGCGGCGAAGTCGGCGGCGGCGGTAGCGCACGAGCGCTCGTAGGCCTGCACATCCTGCAAAGGCGAGCGCGAAAGCGGCAGCGGCGGCGGCGATGGCAGCCCGCTGAGGGGCCATCAGTAAGCTCTGACTGAACAGGATCCAAGCTGTCGAGCGAGTAGCAGTCTGGGAATATCCCAGGGGAGACCGCGCCGTTTTTGAGGGGCCGATTTCGCCCTCGACCCGGTCGCCGCCGATGGCTCGGCTTGTGCGGGTCCAGCGCTGCGGCCAGCCAGCGACACCCTCGCAGGCGGCCGGGCGGGTGCGGACGCGAGCTAGTAGGTGTCGCCGCTCACCGATGGCGGTGGTCGAGAGCCTGCACCAACTTATAAAATGAACTCGGCACGGGACCCGGCACAACCTCTGCACGTTTTGACTGCACACACACACAGCTGTGAGCGCTGTCAGAGCGGTGTTTCGACACCGATATCGTTCAAGGAGAACGCTGATTCGAAATCCGCTGTTCACACTTCACAGGTAAGTGTAAGCGGAGCAGCTGAGCGGCCTGCTTTTGACGCAGCGAATATGTTCACACCTTGAGCGGAGGCCAATTGATTCGCGAGACTCCGGCAAAAAGGGGGTTGGCAACGGGCTTTTGCGGACGCAAGCCTTCAGCTGGTGCCAAAACGTACCAAAACGTCCGTCCCGTCGACCAAATACGCGGTCGGTAGAAATGGCTTGCTTGCAAGAATGGGATGCCGACAGGCGTCAGGCGGCGCATGCCGAGAAGTCGCTTGCCGTGCGGGAGCTCGTGCGCCTCTCCCTGCGCGTGCAGTCCACGGGCGTCGTCGCGGAGCTTCATCTCGACACGGCACTGGTTGCTCCGAGCGGCAGCGGAGCTGATCACGAGCGACGAATTCGCCGGGGATGCCAGGCAACAGATGGGCGCGCAGATAATTGGCGTGGCGTCCTAAACAACGCGACCGACGAGCATGCTCAACTGCTGCGCGACGCTCTCTGCGACCCCGACTTTTGTATGCGCTTTGCCATTCGCCGCCGCATTGGCTCAGGGGGCACAGTCCGCTTGCAGTGGCTCTTCCGCACGAATAGCGTTGTTGGCCGCATGCGTCCTGGCATCGGGAGGGTCCGCCTAAGAGGAAGTACGTTCGTAAGAACTGATACATATACTTTTTGTGCGTGGAGCGTCTTCCCCTTTTGCGCAGCAACACCTTAAACTTTTCAGGCCCTCCAAATTCGGGTCGGAGCGTAGCGGAGTGGGCCCCGAGTTTGAAAAAGGGCGACGGACGCTTGCGTCCTAGCCCCCAACAACGCCTCCCCGGCGCAGAGGGGCCCCCGGAGGGATGCACAACCGCTCCACGCCACGCCGCTTGCGGCGGTCCTCTTCCCAGCTCCGCTGAGGTCACGCGCGTTATTCTTTTCCGCGTGCTGTTTTAGATCATAGATGGACTGGCGCGCACTGGCACTAACACGGGCGACTCCCGCGAGGCCGGCGAGGCAGTTGGCGTGCTCCCCTGCACACAACGATCACAAAACCCACACGCACACGGCCGAGATGCCGCGCTCCTCCTCGAGCTCCTCGTACTCGTACTCGGACTCGCCGGAGCCGTCCAAGGCCAAACCCGCCGGCAAGCCCGCGGGCAAGCCCGCGGGCAAGCCCGCCGGCAAGCCGGCCGCCAAAGCCAAGCCGGCCGCCAAGTCGCGCAGCGACTCGGACTCGTACTCGTACTCGTCGTCCAAGTCGCCGGAGCGTGGGCGGGGACCGGCGCGGCCGGCCGACAAGGACGCGGTGCTGCGGCTGCGCAACCTGACGCGGAACGTGACCGCCGAGCACCTGCGCGAGATCTTTGGCTACTACGGAGAGGTGGTCAAGGTCGACCTCGCCGTGGACAGCGCGGTCGGCCTCTCCAAGGGCACGGCCACCGTCGAGATGGCGAAGCGGCAGCAGGCGGAGGAGGCGGTCCGGCACATGGACGGCGGCCAGCTCGACTCGAATCGCGTCGGCGTCAGCCTCGCCTCCGACGGCGACACCAACGGCAAGGCGCCGCCTCGCCGGCCGCCCTCGCCGCGCCGCCGCGACAGATCGCCGCCGCGGCGCGGCTCGCCGCCCCCGCGGCGCGGCTCGCCGCCGCCGCGGCGTGGCTCGCCGCCGCCCCGCAAGGGGGGTCGCTCGCCGCCGCGCCGGGGCCGTCCCTCGCCTCCGCGGCGGGACCGCTCGCCGGCGCGCCGCGACTACCGCGACCGCTCTCCCCCTCGCCGTGGCCGCTCGCGCTCGCGCTCGCCGCCGGCAAAGCGCAGCCCGTCGCGCGACCGCGGGCGCACGCGCCGCAGCCGCAGCGACAGCGACAGCTACAGCGACTGACGGGGCGATGCCGCGTGCACCCCGCAAGCAGACTAAGCGGGGCGAGCAGTCTCGAGCTCTCGACAATCCCGGTCGGTCTCAGCGAGGTGCCAATGGAATGGCGGGCGAGATGCAACCAGGGGAGTACGAGAGCGCATACACAGGCTACGCGGCGAGACACCCGCGTCGAGCACTCCGCCCCACAGCGAGGGAGAGCTGTGGCGGAGGGGCGCGAGGGGCGGGGTGGAAGGGATAGGTGGAGGTGCAGGTGGGAGAGTCTCGAGGTCTCGACACTGACGTCCGGTCCATGTTTGCGATGTTCTATTACGACTAACCGAAATATGCATTACCCGTTTCCCGGACTCCCCGCACACAGACGGGGGCGAGCTGGGAGAGCGAGAGAGAGACCTTCCGCTCTTTAAAGCCGTATATCGTCACATGCGCCCATTGCCCACTCTAGCACTCAGCTGTCTGCACACTGCAGTCTGGTGCACCGCGTTCGGAGGTGTCCCATGCGCCATGGGCGGGCCGCGGCCGCCGTGCCGCGAGTCGAGCTGCCGTTCAAAGGCGCGTCGAGGCATGCGTGGGTACGTTGGGGGGGGGTGGGGGGGGGCGCCATGACAGAGGGCGGTGTGCGCCGCGAGAGCAGCGGCGGCGCAGACACCTCCCGCCGCGCGGGGTCCGTAGGCGGCGCTGCCTCAGGCGGACGCTGCACTCTGCTGCGCGATGCGCTGCGGCGGCTCGGACGGCGGCGCGCTCACCTGAGAGGAATGGCCCGAGCAGGTTCCGCGAAGGGTTGGTAGGCTGCGGGTCGGTGGTGCGGTGTGCTTTGCCTTTTCGGGCGAGACGCTGCGGAGGTGCGAGAATGGCTGCTTGCCTTTGAGGCCGAGGGACTCGAACATGAGCATGTCCTCGTCGAAGGCGGGGTTGGCCGTGGTGAGCAGCTTGTCGCCTAGAGGGAGCGAGGTCGAGGGAGCGAGCTGAGGGAGCGAGGTCGAGGGAGCGAGGTCGAGGGAGCGAGGTCGAGGGAGCGAGGTCGAGGGACCGAGGGAGCGAGGTCGAGGGAGCGAGGTCGAGGGAGCGAGGTCGAGGGAGCGAGGTCGAGGGAGCGAGGGAGCGAGGTCGAGGGAGCGAGGTCGAGGGAGCGAGGTCGAGGGAGCGAGGTCGAGGGAGCGAGGTCGAGGGAGCGAGGTCGAGGGAGCGAGGTCGAGGGAGCGAGGTCGAGGGAGCGAGGTCGAGGGAGCGAGGTCGAGGGAGCGAGGTCGAGGGAGCGAGGTCGAGGGAGCGAGGTCGAGGGAGCGAGGTCGAGGGAGCGAGGTCGAGGGAGCGAGGTCGAGGGAGCGAGGTCGAGGGAGCGAGGTCGAGGGAGCGAGGTCGAGGGAGCGAGGTCGAGGGAGCGAGGTCGAGGGAGCGAGGTCGAGGGAGCGAGGTCGAGGGAGCGAGGTCGAGGGAGCGAGGTCGAGGGAGCGAGGTCGAGGGAGCGAGGTCGAGGGAGCGAGGTCGAGGGAGCGAGGTCGAGGGAGCGAGGTCGAGGGAGCGAGGTCGAGGGAGCGAGGTCGAGGGAGCGAGGTCGAGGGAGCGAGGTCGAGGGAGCGAGGTCGAGGGAGCGAGGTCGAGGGAGCGAGGTCGAGGGAGCGAGGTCGAGGGAGCGAGGTCGAGGGAGCGAGGTCGAGGGAGCGAGGTCGAGGGAGCGAGGTCGAGGGAGCGAGGTCGAGGGAGCGAGGTCGAGGGAGCGAGGTCGAGGGAGCGAGGTCGAGGGAGCGAGGTCGAGGGAGCGAGGTCGAGGGAGCGAGGTCGAGGGAGCGAGGTCGAGGGAGCGAGTAT